CAGTGAAAATCGGTGCCATGTGCTGGGTTTTGATGGTAGTCAGATTATAAGCATATTCTTATTTAGTAGGAAGGAGGAGGTTTATAAAATCAAATGGCATAACGGTTCTTCTAATTTGTATGTTCATTTTTATTAACTAATAAAATTGAGATTTAGGTGTAATTATGTTCTTCTTAGGTAATTATAAACCATCAGTGGAACATGCTATTTGAAATATCTGATTATTCCCTGACACAGAATCTGGTAATAGATGAGAAAAAGGCTATGCGAATCATGGTTCTGATTAAGAGTGTAGAATTACGTGGCCAGGAACCAGGTTGTTAATAAAGTGGCAAAGCCCATTTATGCTAGAAAAAAAAAAGAATATTAAATAGACAAGCCATTAAGTTAATTTGCTTATATTCTTTTAAATCTGGTATTTATAGTTTATTTAATTACCTGATTTTCTGTGTTGAAAGTAATATTAATTTCTTATAGAAAAATTTATAATGTTACAAAACATTATAAAATAAAAAGCATATAAATGTAGTTAATATTTATACACTTTTTGTTGCACATATATATGTGTAAGTATATCATACATATGTCATCTATACTATGTGGACACTTTCCTATGACTGTATTCTTCATGAATCTAATTATGTAATTATTAATAACTAAATAATGTTTCATCACTTGGATGCATGGCATTCTATGGTTCAATCAACTAACATCCTTCATTTGAAATTTAGGTGTTTCTAGTCCTTCACTATAGTGAACAATGATCCACAGAAAATTTTATATGAAGATCTTAGCAAACTGGTCTGAATATTTTCTCAGAATAAGTTTTCTGAAATTGACTTACTTATGGAAGGTGTTTGGTCATTATTTAATATGTTCGATATATATTGCCAAATTTCTTTCTAGAAAGTCTGTAGTATTACCCGCAGTGTATAAGAGCACCTCTACAAATTTACATGGTATATATATTGAACCTATTATAGTAATGCTTACAGATAGGCTTCATAAATCTTTTAACTGTTTGCTAAATTTTGAGAAGAGTCGTTAATCAGATGGATTCTCAAACTTTAGCAAGCCTCAGAATCACCTGGAAAGCTCATTGAAAACATAGATTGTTGGGCCCCGTTCTCAGAGACTCTGATGTAGTAAATTTGGGAACTTGCATTGCAAGTAAGTTCACCAGATACTTTTGATGCCCTGGTCAGAGGATTGCTTCTGGGAGAGCTGTCGAAATTGACGAATGGGAGTTTGTTTTAAATATTCACTATTATTCAACATAGTAAAAATATGCACTTATTTATAAATCTAATCATCATTTTCTGTGTTTTTAAATCAAGCAGATCTTTGATATCTTTTCCCTTAGTTTATGACACAAATAAGAAGTTTAGTCTAGAATATAATGTCAAAACAATGAAGTTGTAAAGTTTCTAAGTGAATGTTTATGGTTGTACATCTTTTGTGTTCGTTTTATGGCTTCAGCCTTATCTAATGTTGAGTCAAAGTAAAAAATGATTCAGTGATAAATTTAAAATACATTGAAAGTATTTGTTTTATATAAACATCTAGAATAGAAAACTTAAAGAATAATTAAATACTTGAGGAGTACTAAATTAAAAATATTTAAGTACATTTGGGAAACAGAATTTTGCAAATATAATCCTTCTCCCTACAGTGTAAAGCTCAAGAAATGAAAACAGACATAAAGGTCAAGAAATTGAATAAATATATGAGTTAGAAATGTTTTTCCTAACCCATTCTTATTTACACGCTTAGATTGTGAATATCAATTAGCTCAATCAAGTCCTGCTGATAATGTCAGCTGTCAGTCACTCCTAGGTAGTGATGTGTGAAGTTTGTCAGCAGGTAATGGGCCATTTGAGTGATGAATGAAATAATGAGGACACAGAGGCCCAAACAAAACTTCTCCATTTTTGGTAAATTTCTCTCCACATGGGGAATTAAGACAAGGAAAGAAAAGCCACATAAAATCTGTTTTAACAGGGTGTTTATATTAAAAATAGCTATTTTAACATATCACTTAACTTTTTCTTTTTAAAAATTAATTTAAATGGTCAGTGATGGATTATCATCGTTTCACAATAGTATTGATCAGTGTAAGCAATACTAGCTACTGCAAGAGATAGGCTTGCTCTAAGATTCACATTGGTATTTTGACTTGTATTGAATATTTAAATTGAACTTCTTCAGAAGTTTATTAGCAGACTTTCTGAGTCCATGGACTAGCTATACTAATAAGACCTAGCTTTATGTCTCTGAATAAAGTGTAGTTTCTTTCTTTAGGCTTAATACATTTCTTATTAATGTTCTAGCAGTTATTTATATCTGATTGCTGTTAGAGTTAGTGAAATATTTTTCTTTTTCTTTCCCTCCCCTCCTCTCCCTTCTCCTCCACTCCCTTCCCGTCCCCTCCCCTTCCTTTCCTTTTCTTCCTTCACTGAGGAACCCATTACCTTCAATGTTTTTTTCTTTATGTTAGAAATATTTGAATTACTCTCTTCTAGCTATTTTGAAACGTACTATAGATTATTGTAAACTATAGTCACCCTGCTGATCTACAGAACACTAGGTCTTATTTCTTCTATCAAACCATGTATTTAAATGTACCCATTATTCAACTTCTCTTCAACTTGCCTTCTCCACTGAGCTTTTCAGCCTCCAGTAACCACCAATCTATTCTCTATCTTCTTAGATCCACTTTTTTAGCTACCACATATGAGTGAGAGCATGCACTATTTGTATTTTGGTGCTTGGTATATTTCATGTGATAAAGAGATGTCTGCATTCTTATGTTTAATGCAGCACTATTCATAATAACTGAAATATGGAATCAACCTAAGTGTCCATGAATGGATGAGTGAAAAAAAATGTGGTATGTATATATAATGGAATAATATTTTTCCATAAAAAGGAATGAAATCCTGTCATTTGCAGCAACATGGATGAAACAGAAAGTTATTACATTAAGTGAAACAGGCCAAGCACAGATCTTCCATTTTTTAAATATAAGACTATATTTAATTCCAACTGGCCCATGAAGCAATAACTTATTTTATTATTGGTACTGGGACATACAGAGATAGCCAGCAGTTAACTGATTATGAAACTGGAATTCAGAGGGGTAAGATTATATTAAATTCAAGTCAGCTTCAATCAATATCCCAGGAGAATATTGAAGACGACTTGGTGAAACTCTGTCCACACTGAAAATTAAAAACATTATCCAGGTGTGGTGGCGGGTGCCTGTAATCCCAGCTACTTGGGATCCTGAGGCAGGAGAATCACTTAAACCTGGGATGCGGAGGTTGCAGTGAGCCGAGATCGAGCTGCTGCACTCCAGTGTGGGCGACAGAGAGAGACTCCATCTTAAAAAAAGAAGAGTCCGGGCACGGTGGCTCAAGCCTGTAATCCCAGCACTTTGGGAGGCCGAGGCGGGTGGATCACGACGTCAAGAGATCGGGACCATCCTGGTTAACATGGTGAAACCCCGTCTCTATTAAAAAAATATAAAAAATTAGTTGGGCATGGTGGCGCGTGCCTGTAATCCCAGCTACTCAGGAAGCTGAGGCAGGAGAATTGCCTGAACCCAGGAGGCGGAGTTGCGGTGAGCTGAGGTCGCGCCATTGCACTCCAGACTGGGTAATAAGAGCGAAACTCAGTCTCAAAAAAAAAAAAAGAAAAAAGAAAGAAAAGAAAGAAAATATACCATTTTATATTTGAAAATTGGCTTTATCGGTTTTTTCAGCTCTGAGAATATATTAAAGAATCTACTAGAATATAATCCCCATAAGGGCAAGATTTTTTTATCTACTTCGGTCACTGATAGATTTTCATGCCGGACTTGCACGGTGGCTCACGTCTGTAATCCCAGCATGTTGGGAGGCCGAGGCAGGTTGATCATGAGGTCAGGAGATGGAGACCATCCTGGCTATCGCGGTGAAATCCCATCTCTACTAAAAATACAAAAAACCAGCTGGGCATGGTGGCACGTGCCTGTGGTCCCAGCTACTCAGGTGTCTGAGGCAGAAGAATCGTTTGAACCCGGGACGTGGAGGTTGCAGTGAGCCGAGATTGTGCCATGGCACTCCAGCCTGGGCAACAAAAGCAAAAAAAGATTTTCATGTGTAAAATAATGCTTGAGATAAAACATTTTTGAATAAATAAGTGGGTGCAAAAATTCACAATGTGAGCCTTCTCTCAGAGCAATTTTAAAGAATTAGCTGTAAGGGGATTCCTAACTTCCTTTTTTGAGTAGAGTTAAGCAATTAATCTATCCATCATTATGTGTTCAGTGCTTATTTGTAGCATGTCCTTTTTCCACTGAGGAAAGACTACTTTCTCATGGACTGAAAACGCTCTTTGATCTTTAGCTATGGTTTGCTTGGTGGAGAGGGAGGTGACCAACTAATGACAGATGTGGATTCTAATGTACGTGATTTGAAAGGATTAATAGACATGGTTTACCTTAAGTAAATGGTTTTAAATTATCCCTGTGTCCTTAGATTTAAAAAGAGAACCATAATCAATCAATTCGCAAATGTTAACTTTGTTACCCAATGAAAGTGTTTTTAGTCTGCCATTTATAGGGGACAAAGGGGTATAAGAATTATCATAGACTTTCAACTGGTGACATTACTGTTGGACCTGGAAAGCTTATTTAAAAAAAGACAACCAAAAATATATGACAATTCTATATTGCGCTTCATTAGAATCCAAATAGGGAGTATTTTCAAATAATTTTCATCATGTAGCATGTGGCTTAGAATTGAAATTGGTTATATAAATTGGTATGCGCCTTTTTAAAAATTTTATCTTTTTAAATATTTTCTCAAAACTAAAATTGGAAATGAAGGACTTAATGTAAATTCTGGGCAAATATAATTATTATGTTTATGTTGTCCCTTAATATTAAATAAGAGGATCAACATGTGCAGTGATTTGGATATTTAACTCAGAGCTCTTGTTTAATTTTTTTTCTCTAGGATTCTGAATTTCCCGTAGATATGCAACTGAATCCAAACCTGAATGTTTGTAAAGAAAATCTTTCTCCAGCAAAATTTGACTACAAGCTGAAAAACATTTTTAGACTTCATGAACTTCCAGTGAGCTGGTATGATTTTTGATGTTTTATTAATACTTTTGAGATTTTATTTTCATGTCAAAATTTTGGTGCTCTTATAGCCATTCATGGTCGAAATGGTTTGCTTTTAGCCTTTCAAAATTGCTACTCATAGCAGTGAAAGAATCTGCTTATAGCTGCTGTAAGAATCTTAAAAGTAATTGGTTTAAGCACTTGGTGGCAGTGCAGACTAAGTGCACTATTGTGTGTTTTATTGCAGAGGTTGGAGTAAAAATTCACAAATCATTTTTACAGAAGTTCCTAGGATTACTTTAAAGATAGGATCTCAGCAACTATGCAATTCATTTGTTTATTTTACTTACCAATTTTACCAACGTACTTTCCCCCCATTAATAAATCCTTTTTACTTGTTTGTTCTGAGGACCATAATTTTGTGAACTATAATCACATAGGTTTAAAGATGAAACTTGGTGTTACTCAACATTTATTGAAATAAATTGTTTTATGAACCTACATATTTATATTCATAACGTTTTTATTTAAAATCTTATAGAATGGATAGTATTTTTATTCAAAATTAAAAAATATGTCTGTGGAAAATATACTTATATAAACCTTTTAATTCCATGGTCCATTTACATTTCATTAAATGGTCATCTTTTGTTGATAATCATGGATATATCATTTACTACAAGCTGAAAAACATTTTTAGACTTCATGAACTTCCAGTGAGCTGGTATGTTAATCATGAATATCCATGATTATCAACAAAATTGGTTTAGTTTATATAAGTAACATTTTCTTGTATTTGGTCATAGAGTCCTTAATTTATGTAACTGTTCTTCAAGAAATCTAAGACTTGTACAAAAATATATGGCATTTGTTTTGTAATTGCTCCTTTTATACTTAAGGAGGACTAATGACTCAGAAGAGACATTAACTAATCTTTAACACATATATTTTACTTGTGGTATTTTTTTTTTTCATTTGCAAAGTCTCCTCTGCTCTTGATGACCATATGGTCTGTGCAATCTACTTCCTAAACTCCATTTGTTTGATTATTTCCTGGTAGCAAGTATATTGTCTATGGTATATTTCCTAAGAGCATAGCGCATATGAGTACATCTGTCATGACCTAAAGTAGTAGGTGAATGAATTGAAAAGGTCTGTTTGTAAAGGGAACCATAAAAATGATACATTTATACCTTAATGTTCTATTTCAATGTGAGACAAGTGCCTGTACATTTATATGCCAGTCTTTTGATGTAAAGTCATGACATTTTCTTAAATATCTGTTGATTGGAATGCTACACAATATTTCTTACCTAAGCCAGGCCAAAAATGCATATTCTACATTTTCAATTTGTAATTTTTAAAATCTAAAATAAGAACTTCAGACAACTTCAGATGATCTTCCCACCTTTTTATAACATTAATTTAATTTTCATTGACTGCAAATCTGTTTTATAATTCTGATATTTCATCACTGTAACTAATGTTTAATTATACTACAATAGCAAACACAACTGGCTTATAAACAGGTTTAGGACCAAACTCCGTGAACCCTGAATCATGAACCTTGACTGATGGTAGTAGCCAGTGCTGGCCTACTTGTGTGTGATTGGAGAGCTCTGAATAGTTGGGGTTCAGTGAGTGCAGCTTGTGTATTTTATGGAGACAATGGAACGTGTTGGTCAATACAGCAGTTAAGCGGTGGTTAAAGAAAAGCTTTTATTAAATGAAAATGTGGAGAAGAAATGGAGGGAAACATTTAGGTCATAGTCAAAGGCAAAATATGGATTTCAGCTTAATACATTTCCAGCATTCGGAAAGACAGCTGTCCTGATTACTACTACTGCAACCCAAGGAATCCTTTTTATTTTTTTTTGTAACAATCTTCACTACTTAATCACTATTAGGAGGGAAGGCCGTAGCATTATTAGTTAATTAGTAGAAAAATAAATTGGTAATAGAAAAATAACTACTAGTCTTTTAGGGTAACATACCTCAGTGGAAGATTAAGTTGTGACTTTGGAACAACTTACTTACTTGGGACATTTTTTTGCTTGTCTACTTCATTTCCAAGTGGTCCCATTTTCTTCTTCCTTACTGTACTATTTTTTTGCTGTGTGTGTTCGTGTCTCTCCCAAACACATGGCAAAAGTAGTAGTTTATTCTGCTACTTCTTTCTCTGTACTCTCATTCCGTACGACCAATCCTTAGCTAGCCATAATATAAAATTCAATTGAAAATGTTTAGTGTTTCTCAAATAGTTTCATAATCTATGTTCTTAATTTTCGAACCAAATACCACCCCCATACAAACATACACATACAAAAATTAGTACTTAATAAGTCTATGGTACAGTGTTTATTGACCCAATTGTATATTTCTTTAAGGAAAAGGAAAGTTTTGTTTTGTTGTTGTTTTGTTTTTAGTATGGGGACTATGTGTTTTTAAATTTATTTTTGTTTGTCATTTGCCATCAGTGGAAAGAGAGTTCTTCAGCTATGGCGTATAAGTTCCCTAACTTCAAAAATATAGCAATAAGAGTAATGACAATGGCAATGGAAATCATATCAATAACAGTGCTTTACTAAGCCTCTATAAATGCCAGGATTCAGCTGCTGTATACACACACTATCTCTGACTTTCATATTTCTGTAAGGTAGTTATTATTTTTTTCTCTGTCTCTCATTTCTCTTTCTCTATCACACATATACACGAGACTCAGACACCTTGTGAATCACAAAGAAAGAATTTGTGTCAGATTTGGTTAACCCAAAGGTAAACTACAAAATAGTGAATAAGCCACACATTATTTTAAATAAATATGATAAAAAAAATCTCTGTTTTTATGGTTGGGCAAGCAATTTTGCTAGTAATACACAACTGTATGACCTATGATTTGAGCAAAATACATGAAAAACATGACCTAGGATAATTGCTATAAACTTAAATATTAAAATAAGTAGTTAGATTGCATTTAAGTGCAGAATAATTATATAATTTTTCTCTGGAAAAACAGATTTATCAAAATGTATTTTTATAATGTTTTCCTGACAAGGTCATAATAAAATAAATGCATATTAAAATCCAGGTAATTTAAAAATCACTGATGTCTTACTAATTTGCATTTCTATAGAGTATAGTTTCATAAGTCAAAGAACCAGAAAGATTTTAAATTAAATTAGTTAAGAGAGTTTTTAAGTTCTGATTTAGGTAGATGTCTTTCTTCTACTCTTAAAGGATGCTTCCCATCAGTCTAGAATGTGTCTTCCAGTGACTGCCACTGGTTGTTTGTTTGTTTTGTTTTTTGAGAGAGAGTCTTGCTCTGTTGCCCAGGCTGGAGTGCAGTGGCATGATCTTGGCTCACTGCAGCCTCTGCCTCCCAGGTTCAAGGCATTCTCCTGCCTCAGCCTCTTGAGTAGCTGGGACCACAGGTGCCTGCCACCACACGTGGCTAATTTTTGTATTTTCAATAGAGACGGAGTTTCACCATTTTGGCCAAGTTGTTTGAAAAAAATTTTTTTTCTTATCCAGAGAACTCCCCATCAAACCGATGCTCTTTCCTCATATCCTGCTCATTGTCTCTAAGGAGGTTGGCCAAAGTGAGTGCAAAGTGAACTAACAGCCTCCACTTGCCCTTCCCATTCTCCCCTGCCATGGGGTTCTCTTCCTTTCTGCTCCTGCAACTGTTCTTGCCAGTCATTAGCCACTTGCCATGTCTACCACCAGCAGTCACTCACCCGTCCTCATTTTCTTCACCTCTGAGCTGCAGTCAGTACACTGACCACTCCTACTTTTCCTCTCCTGACTCCTATTATTTGCATGATCCTAGTTTTCCTGCCGACTCCCAGGCTCATATCCCTCTCAGCATCTTCAGTGAGCCAGGATTTCTGGCCAGATTTCTGGTTGATAGGTTGGCCCTAGACTCAAATTTATAGCGTCATCTCTTCACTTTTTCAGGTGGCCTCTTCCATTCTTTGGCTTTAAGTACTTTTCCTGTGGTGGTATCTCTACCATGATGTCTCTCCTGAACTTTAATATCTAATAGGTTTCTCTAGAGTTTCATCTGTCCAAAAAATAACTCTGGTTTTCCCCCAGAAGACCTAATCTTCTCCTTATCTTCCCCATTTTTGTAAAAGTACCAAATCTGTGTGAATTTAAGCAAGCTAAAAGCCTGGGAGTCATTTTAATTCATCATTCTCTCACCCTGCAATTCCCACCATTAAATCTACCAGAAAGCCTGATAGGAGTTTCCTCTGGAATATATTTAATTTTTTCCCACTTCTTTCTATCTGAGTATGGTGATTTCTCATACTCTTGCAAAAGCCTCCTAGTTTACCTTATCTTACCCCACAATAATTCCACTCATGTCACAATAGCCAAACACATTTTAAAAATGTAAATCAGATCATGAGATTTCCTGCTTCAAATACAATAATGTCTTCCCCTTGTTTAAAACATAAAATCCAAACTTCTTACTCTGTGGCCTTTGCAAGATGAGACTCTTGCCTACCTCTTTGGCCACATGCTCTCCCACTCTCCCTTGCCCTATCTCCTAACTACACCAGTCTTCTCACTATTCTGCAAACATGCCACACTTATTCCTACTCCAAGGTCTTTCCACTATCTTCTTCATGGACTCTCAGTATTACTTCTCCAATGTTTGCATGTCTAGCTCATTCTTACCTCTCTTAGCTCAAATGTTACCTCCTCAGAAAGGCAGTACCTGAAAAATGTAGCTAATACTTTCCTTCTCACTCCCTTAGTCATGTTCAGTCCCTTCATTCTACTTTATTTCATTCATGGTTCTCAGAAGGCATGCAGTGTTGTCCTAGTTTATGTGTGGCAGAGACAGGTAGATGCTCACCAATCCAGTTTCCTCTTCTCTGAGCCCATTGGGAAATTTTATCTTCAATTTGGAATTGAATTTGGGGATTTGGCCATGTGTCTAAAAATTACCAGAAATGGTGCATACCACTTCCAGACCTAACCCCTAAGACTTCCAGTGGGATTCACTGTTG